ACCCAGCTGGGTTTCTTCTCAGACTGTCCCTGGGGTAGCTCTGCTTCCATCCACCCCTTCATGTTGCCATGGACCATACTTGGGAGTCACATATTTCAGGAATTGGTTTTAGTCCTGGGTCTGGCTCTAGTATTTGTTCAAAGCAGCACCAGAAAACTCCCCTGGATCATCTCCTGAATCAGACAGAAGCACCTTAATATAGTAGCTAACTCCACCACTCTGACTGGGAAACCCTTCTACACACTAAGACACCAGAATGCCAGAGTACCCAGTAGTCAGGCTACACTTTACATCAGAAGTTCAATAGGCCATTTCATTTATTCTTTCATCCTTCATCACACAATACTTCTCCCTGTTTTCTGGCTCAGCTCATAGGAAACATATTATGAGCAGACACCAGCTTGGGTAAGACCTATTGGGGCATAAAGTCTAACTGTCCATATTCAGTAAATTCACCTCATAGTGAACCACTGTCCCCTTGCAGGTTGACTTTGGTGCCTGGCTTCAGCCTATTCCTTTTCCCATGGGTGACAGTGCATGGGACCACTCCAAAAAAAAGGTCTCTCCAGCCATGAGAGAGACTGAATATCTCCTGTCACTCAACAGTAGCCACTCTGCTTGTCCAAGAACTGGCACTGACCACTGTGTTGTGGCATAGGGAGAGCTTAACATGTGGACTAGCAGGAAAACTTCAGGGCCCATAGGAAACTGCCTCAGGGTTCAAACGAATCCTCTGGCTGGGAAATTTTGGGGTGAAGCGTCCAGAGTGCTTGGCAGTGTGGACAATGCAGGATGCGGGTGTATTCAGACAAAGCTTAAGAGCTCAGTCATTATATCTTTAAGTGACTGTTTAGTTTTTGTTGGCTTTTGATGACTCAGGGTGCCTTTTATAAGGCAAAATTAATGCAAGTGCTTCCCTTTTTACAGTGGCCACATTGCTCAGGAAATGAAATGTCATAAGGGGAACAAAGCTCATTAGTTTGGTGCCATAAATGGTTCTCCAAGGTCTCAGTAACCCTATGATTAACATAAACACAGACAGAGGCAATTACAAATAAAGACTCACAAAATCCAGCTTTCCATCTGAAAATGTTGTCTGTAATATCCTTCTTTGGATGTTCACAGATGTGGTGACCTAGAGGTAAGGAACATTTCATACCAATCATGACAACCAAAGCCTGAGGAAGGAAAGCAGCCAGCCCAGGGTGAAAGTGAGGACAACTGAGCACGTAACATAATTCCCAAAGGACCAGCCAAGGGATTTTGAGATTCACCCTCATAATTACATCACTTTGTGAACAATTTGAAGCAAACACTGCCCTAGGGTGTTTTATTCACACCGCAGTCCTCTCTCGGGCAGTCGCTGTTGGGTGGCTATGTCGATATTCCTTAGGATGGGGCAGAGCAGCTCAATCACACAAGCACTATCTCAACTCCTCATCCTGCTATGACTGGAAAAGTGCAAACCTTGTCAGGTTTTCTAGTGAGTTCCACACAATTCAGCAGAAGATAATATTCAAGAGGAGGATGAGAACAGAGGAAGGTGGGAGGAGTGGGTCAGCCCTGGGCAGACCCACTGTGTCAGCATCATTGGCACTCAGAGCTGCTCCTCAGCCAGTGCAGATCAGTGAAGTGTGCTGGGCATAGGCATACGTGTCTTTGCAGGAGACTGTACACTTTTTTCTCTGCATTTCTCACTTAATCATTGTGATTTATTCAGAATGGACCCAAATGTGAAGCATGAGGTGTGTTTTGTAAAAACCAAAGCTTGGCCTCCTTGCCTGTGTCTGTGGCAACTATGCCAAGAGACAACTGTGTTGATGCCACAGTAATAAAGGAGATAGCCGTGTTCAGGCAAAGTTGAGCAGAAAGCCCAGAGTCCAGCCAAGCATCCTGACTCTAGCAAAATCACATCAAGTACAGCAGTTTGCTGGTAACCTACCCAATAAGAACATCCCCTAGAGACTCCTGATAGTCAAAAAGCAGCTTGAAACACCTCTTGTAAACAGTTTTTAAGAGGTATTGTCATGACTTTAGGTGCTCTGCCTGTTTAAGCAATAGCACGATCCACGTTTACTCTAAATGCTCTGCTAACATCCTGCAGTAATGAATTTCACAGACTGATTACCTGTTGCATGATAAAAATACGTTGCCAGCAGCTGACTCGACGAGGCAATGGGCAAAAAAAACCCCATAGCGCTACTGTTTTTTCTTAGAAAAGAGAGAGGGGACAGGGAAGGAATGAGGTTCACAGTCCTGCCTGGTGACTGCCTCTGGGATGGAGAAAGGCATGAAAGTTTGCTAACTGACCTGGTGAGGCAGGACATGGTCAAGTAGCTGTAACCATTCTAGGTTACAAATCCTGCAAAAGTCTTCAAAGGAGGGTCTTGGGGAGGTTGTATTGTTACTGTTCTGCAGAAGGCTTTCACCTTCCAGCTAACCCCTGCTGAAAGGAACCATGGACTTCAGTGGCTTACTTCTGACCTCTGGAGTGGCTGCTGTGATGTCATCAGGGTTACAATTTTACACACAATTTGATGTGCAATTGTGTGTTAAATAGTGATGGTTAGCCTGGATTTCCCAGCTAATGAAGCAGGCAGAATGCTATCACATATGGACTGCTCCAGGGCACTGGCACTATGAGGGAGTCTGAAATCATTCTGACTTTGGTGGGAAGAAGGACACCCTATTTCCTCCTCTGGCATCCCCTTGATAGGATGGACTCATCTCACCCAGATCCCACCCTGGCAGTGCTTCTGCAGTTTGCTCTGGAGCTTGCAAATCTGCCTGCCTGCCCAGGCAGACCTGCCCAGGTATCCCTGTAGGCTCAGAAAGGCAGCAGAAGCTGCTGATCATCTTTAATGTGTGCCCAAGTTTTGCTTAATTGAGAACAGACTCTCTAGTAGCATTCACCACCACCTCCTGATGGTTCTGGGACAGCTCAGGCTGTGACAGTACGACGAGCCAGGCTTTCCTGTCATGCAGCTCATGTGTGATGCCCTAACGGGTCCAATGGCAAATACATAATTTTGTTTTCCAGTATTAAGGGACTCAGCCTGGGACAGGTCTCAGACCAACATACAAGGTGGCCTCCAAGCCCTTAGATCATTGCCCTGAGTCCTCCTGCAGAGCTGGATGCAGAAACACCAGCTCATTCTGTGCAGGCTGGGTGGTCACTGTTCTGCTCTCCGAGGTAGCCTGGGGGCAATCTCACATACCAGAGTCAGTAGATCCACAGTCCTGCAAACCACATTCCTGGCCAATATCATTGTAAAAACACTTAGTCAGTGGCTATATTGATTAGATTCTGGCAGATCCTGCTGTTTCACTTTCTAAACTATAGTTATTTCAAGAGGAATTGCCCCGTCTTATTGTTTATTCCTCAGTACTTAGCTGCAATTGTGGTAGTGAAAGAAAGGAGTCATTTTTTGGGTCTCAGAGCTGCAGTGATGACCACAGAGTCACAGAAAAGCCTGGAGGAGATTCCCCTCCTTCTGCCTCCCTTCTTTTGGATGGCCTTCATGTCCAATTTGCTGTGCACGAGTGCAGCACTAAAGATTCATCAAATATTTCCATCTCTGGTTTCAAGCAAGGTCCCTGCCTGCAAGGCACAGTGCTGAGCTGGCATCTCTGAGCATGGCAGCAGGATCCCAACAGGGAGAAGGTGATGGGATCACCAGTTTGGCCGTTTTGCCCAGACAGCTGCCCAACCAGGGTGTGAGTTTGGCCTGGGTCTGCATCAGAGACCCCATGGTGGGGCTCTGGGCTGACTCCAGATGGAAAGCCTGGTCCCTTGGCACCCATCAGCCTGTCTGCATACAGATGGATTTTGGCTCCTGTCCATGTCCGTCTTCCCCTGCAGCCACCTCCTACAGGATTTAAGTATTCTCCCAGGTTCACCACTATGCAAATATTGAAATTAGCTCTTTGCATGATTGTGTAGGTAGTGATATTACAGACTTTTTCAGATGACAGCCACTGAGGAATTCACGTGCCTTCTCTTCTGACAGCATCAACAGTCAGGTTTGTTTTCCAGTGAGCGAAAGAATGATCCCCAGTGTATGAAAAATTTCAGCATTAAACTATTTGGTATCTGGAATGTTTGTTTTTTTTAAGTCTTCCTCTGAACGCATCAAAACACAAAGTGATGTGCCATGAAATAATGCAAAATACAGGCCTCATCAGGAAGGGCCCAATTCTCAGAGATCAAGATTTTAACTAAGCCTCACTAAAACCAGGAGTATATTAGGAGGAACTATGAGGCAAGCTGTAGCCCCACTGGTAGTTCCAATACATTGTATTTCCAGTTCTAGGAGATCCAAATGAAGCACAGGGTTTAAGTTCTGTCCTTAAAAGGAAGCCCAGCAGACTTTTCCTTTCTTCAAAAGACCCTGAGAGAAGGCAGCAGGTCTCCATACCCTGCTGTGGAACAAAGAAGTCCCTGGGCAGGAATTTAATTGGTCTGGCCAAATGGCCTTGGGTCAGTAATTTCTCTGCTGGAAAAGACATCTTTGTCACATCAGTTACATTTCCACAAAATGTTGCAATTACGTCTCATACTTGTGCCTTCAGACGCCTTCCTTGAGACACCTTACTGAGAGCTGCAGTACAACCACAAAAACTGTAATGAATATCTGTGTGTTTAAACAATTGCCACTTTGTCCCACCAAAATATTGCCATAAGAACATTGCCTACACCTCTTACTTTTTCTTGAGCTATCAATGATTTCTCGGCCATCGTGCAAATCCTTTGCAATGTGGAGCACAGCTAAGCCTGACTAGCCAGTGTCACATTTTACCAGTGGGGCTGATGAGATTAATCCTTCATTTCCATGTGCTGATCTGTCATCCCCATTATTTAACATCTCACCTTGAGGTAACAAATGGTCCACCTTCTGAGCACACTGGGCACGGCCGCAGGGGATTTGGGATGCTGGATATAATGTGGTCTGCCACATTGGATGGGCAGTGACAAAAAATATCCCTCTTCCCCCAGGTCCTTCCATCGTCCCACTGCAGCGAGCAAAGCCAACACTGGGCAATCCTCTAAAATGTTTATTTGGACCAGTGGCCGGAGCTCTACATCATACAGACATGACGAGAGAAGGTAAATGGCAGCTATGCTAATTGTCTTGTACGGGTTTGAATCTTTGGGACTGTGGCCTGTAGCTTCTCTTCAGCAGAAGCACTAGAGAAGTAGGAGAGATGCAAAGGGTGTGTGCCCCTTGCCTTGCACCCTCCTGGCTACTGCCCCTTTGGCAACAGGACCAGCCAATGTGTGCCAGTGTTATTGCCAAGCCAAGACAGAGTGAAGGGACAATGCCAGAACCGTGGCCAAAGCCTTGTTCTCAGGACAGCATCAGCACACCGTAAACATCTCTGAGGTCAGCACACTCATGTTACACTTTTAAAAGCACACTAACCCCACACTACAGGTTTGCAACCCCAGCTCCAGCCCATGCAAAATCTTTATGCCTTTTGCATCTATCCTGCTTCCAGCCATTGGCCCACTCCCCTTCCACATCCCCCTCCAGACAACACACACAGTGCCTCCTCTCCCCAAGCCAGGCCATTGCCCTACATAACTTTTTACACATCTGGATGATGCATCCAGCTGTCAGAGATGTTTTCTGTCGATATGGATGCCTGTGTGAGGGTGAGTGTGTGTGCAATAAACTGCACAATAGCTGGAGGAGGGCAACCAGCTTGAAGGTGAGGGGGTGGCTCACCAGTCCAATTAAGTGGTGTTGCTGGAGGAAGTAGGCTGAAGGAGACAGAGGAATAAATGAGTTACTGAATCTCCCAGAGGAGCAGGGAATTACACAGAAGAAAAGGAAGGGGTAGAAGTTTTTAGTCTGCTGACAAAGGCAACACTCAGTTGGGAATGAAAAAATTTAAATATCAGTGACGAAACAACAATTGTCAGTAATGCTCAGACTCATCCTTCCAAAGTCTCTCTCCTTTGTAGTCAGAGTAGCTGGACAGCTTGTCTTGTCACAACTGGTCAGGTCACTTTTGCCTTTCTTCTCTTTCCTTTCCCCCTTCCCTCCCTCGCCTCCTCTCCTTCAGGTCCCCTTGCAGTCACTATTAAATGTAATCACAAAAAATCAGACCCTGGTGAAACAAAAGCAGAGGCCAATGTATCTACAGTGCCAATTAGGAGGACACACTTCAGTTATTCTAATGAGACATTACTGCTTGCATCTGCTTGAGAAGATGCACTCCTGAGTTCAGGCAGCAGAGCTGCCCTCAGAACACCAAGTTTCTTTGGAGAACTGGCCCATTTGCTGAACTTTTCTGCAAAGGCTGCATAGGTATTTGTCTCTTTTGATAATCTGATCCCAAACAGATATTTTGAAGCCACAAAGGCCAGCTTGGTAGCGAGTTTCCATGGACTTTTAGTTGGAGCTGGTTACCTGACTCATGTATTTCTGCAAAGCCTCCTCTTTAATAGGATTTTCCCCAGGCTAATGTTCTTCTGTGTTAAAACACTGTCATGGGCAGGATGGTCCGAGGTTAGACACTTGGAGGAGATATCCACCCACCCGCTGGGCTGGCTGGAAGCCCTGTGGTCCTGATTAGCATGGCCTTCAGGTCTCACCATGCCTTTCAGTGGGACTTATTAACTTGGGCTGCTTGCTGTACTAAACAGGGCTCACCAGTGTCTGGTCAGCTTAAACCCTGGGCAGAGCTCACCCCTGCCTGCCTCCAAAAACAGGGAGGTGTGGAGCAGCACCTCTGTGCTTACACATCAGCTGTGGTCACCTCAGATGCCTTCTCAAACCTTAGGGTGGGTTTATTTCCCAAGTGGTCCTGTAGAGCCATACAGGAGGAAATTTTCATACCCAGTGAGTCACTAATAAAATTCAGGAGGCAGAGGGAGGAAGGTAAAATAGAAATAGGAGAGTGCTAACCACAGCCTCAGGACTGCAGAAGAGAGGTGTGAACACAGGGCAAACATTACTGGTGGGAGAAACCCATCCGCCAGCGTCTGGCAGTGATTTTAACACATGTAAGGTCACCAACAGCATCACTGCATCAAGCAGGCAGTGCGTCTTACAGAAATTACTTCTCCTAAATGACCCTTTCCTAGGAATTTTTGTTCTTTAAACTTCAAACAGAAAGATTGTCACATGGAGCAAACTTGCCACCTAACTCGTGCTGTGCAGTAATGGGTCACTTGCTGTGAAGGAATTACCTCCTCCTGGGTGGAAGGTCTCTCTCAGGCATCTCTTTTTGCAGGATCAAGCCCCACATGTATGTATTTAGACATCCACTGCTCCCTGACTGCCATTTCGTGTGCTTTGGAAACTATTCAAGTCCTCATTCTTTCTCAGCTGTCTATTAGGCTTTCCACAACACTGTGAGCTTAGAAAACCAAAGCACTGGTTTAATTTGGTTCAGTTTTGTCCAGTTTGGTGGGGAAGAGGGAAGGAATTGAGTGAGTGAAATGTGTTCATATCGATAGGAATCCTTCTACAACCATCCCTGAGACTTTTGAGAGAGCTCCAGAGAGATTTCCTGTTGCCATAGCTCCAGCATCAAAAACCGATGCAGCTAAATCTACCCTATAAAGAAAAATGTAAAGAAATTGGCCTCTGAGCAGAAAAGTCCTTGAGCATTGGGGATTCTGCAGGTAAGATGCAGGAGGGTTTTTTGACCATCGTAGTCAAGGATTTCTGATATCAGTAAGCACCTCAACATGAGGTAATTTGAGTGACATCTGCATAACAACTGTGATATCAGAGATGTGAATGTGAATTCAAAGTCACTTTGAACGATCAGGCAGGCATCCTCATCTGACAAGTCCTGTGGCCGCACAGTGCTGAAGGAGGCAACATCTCAATGCCACACCATGGTCCATTTGCAAGGGAAGGAATTTGAGGGTAGATAATTAGTGTTCCTATATTTAAAAAAAAAAAAAAAAAATAGTAATTGCAGTCATCTGGTTATCCTGGGTATTCATTATTCCAGATTTCCAGTGAGATTTGGGCCCCTTTGCAGAGCTCCTAGATCTCCCCATTTTGGAGCTAGATAAGAACTGTTGTACTGGGTCAGAAGAAGCATTACTCTAGCTTCTACTGCTCTATGTGGCAGTCCCCAGTTGCAAACTCTCTGCGTACAGGACAATTCCTAATACATGCCAATAAATTAATCACATCCCCAGAGCTGCAGAGCAGCCCTGTGCCAGCAAGCTGATCTGCCTTGTCCTTCACATAAGTGAGTGCTAAAGGGTCATGTACCTCGTGATGGCAAATAAAGGTCTTGGCTGCAGCTAATACAAGTGACTCTACAGAAGACATAGAACTTCTTTATTAGGGCCAGTAGGCTCAGATTGGCATTGTCACTCTCCTTGGCTGTCTGGTGTTCAGGCTAACATAACCTGCTGAATTCTACCACACAGGTCCTCTCTAAGCCTTCCTCTGGAGATCATGTAAGGAGCTGCTGACCACATTGCTGAGGGATCCCTGCACTGCTGCTGTGCAGAGATACGGAGAGGGAAATCTCTGCTCTGTCCCCAGCAGGCACAGTCACAGCCAAGGGTTCCTCTGGCAGCTGAGCCCGGGTAGAGCAGCCAGCCCGTATCCTCTGAGCAATTTGGCAAAAGGAACATGGAGATTTAGTAAGGGAGAACTTCAGTTTGGAATTTATCAAGGGACTAAGGACCTTTTGTCCTTGGAGGCTTGCTTTCTATTAAACATCTTTGCAAAGAGTGGAGAAACCCCACACTCTGACAGCTGGGTCTTCTTCAGAAGCAAATGCCCCCCACTCAGTTTCATATTTATAGAGTTATCACAGGTAATCACAAGCACTAGACAGAGTCACCTACATGAGTAATATCTGGGATACAGTGATCTGTACTTAAACACACTACAGCAGTAAGCTAATTGTGGCTGTGCAGCCCTGGGATCTAAAATCCACCAGCTAAGCACAACACTCTTCCATTTCACAAAGCAGAACTTGGTCCCTGGGCTGTGCCAAAAGCTCACACATACACAAAATCCACCCCACAGAGCAACGCACACACCTGGGCAGGGTGCTGCTGCCACCCCAGCTAAGGAGACACCGAGGCTGCTCAGTTGGTGGTAAGATACTCTGCATAACGTATCATGTTCCCCAAAACCAAGGCTCTGAGGGGCAAGAATGTGAAGTCTGGTAATAGCAGATGTTCCCAGTATCATACAGAGAAAATTGGCACCTCCTCGGTGCAGGCACGGGCGGGGAGGAGGAGGGATGGTTACTCAGCATGTCTCCTGAGCTACATCAAGACCAGTGCGTCACACACGGGCACGTGCCACCCAGCCCCAGCGTGTGTCACCACACCCACTTCTTGCAGGGAGTCAGGAGGGGAAAAAAAAACAGTAAGGTGCACCAGGCTCCCACTCTTCTGTTGTTCAGGGCCTGGAATAGCAAATATTTGCAACAGAGCAGCTGAACAAGCGCTCCAAGTGTGACCCCCAAGGCAGAGCTTTATTTAGGTGGACTTGCTGTGTCAAGCAAGCATGGGAGATCCACCTGGCAGGTGGTCACTGCACACCGTCCTCATCACCAGTCACCTACCAGATAGATCACCTCTGTGACACATCCCTCAGCCCACCCTTTTCTTACCTCTGCCTGCACCTTTCTTGGCTCAGGGCCACACAGGAAGGATTTGTAACCGCTCTCAATTAGCTATTTGTTTTTCAGTTGTCCATTTGTATCCCTTTTATGTCCTAGCTGCTCCAATGACATCAGTGAGCGATTGCACTGCGTCTGTTGTATGTCTGCTCGCTGACATAAGTTATGCTGTGTGATCGGTTAATGTGCTGGAACTGCTTGACAGTCTCTGCCTTCCTGCCTGCCTCCATTTGGGAGCAGAGCGAGCCATAATAGCAGCTCTCAGAGTTAAATACAGTTTGATAAATAATAATAGAAAAGTAACACTAGATTATTACTCTACATTACTTCTTTGAAGGCAGTTCCATCTGCCACTTCACAATATATTGTTTCTACCCAACACCAGAGAAGATTTTGACAGGCTGAATTACTATTTCATTTCCAACTAGGAAAATATTGACAAGCTTCAAAGGATGGTTTTGAAGAGAAATATATCTAAAGATGTAAATTACAGTTGGATGAAGAAACCTCAAAGGGTCTTAGGTATGGAAGGCTATTGACTGCAGTACCATCTAAGCAAGATTTTTGCTATAAAACCCCACACCATATGTGCTTTTCCTGACTACGACTCATCATCTAAATACAAATTCTATTCCAGTTTCAGGGATTTTGTTTTTAAACCTATTTTCTTGTTTCTTCTGTGTTTATGCATGGGTTTACGTCTGTCTTAACTCTATTTCTTTGTCCTTCTTAGTGAATGCAAGTTGTATGGTTGGTCTGACACAGTGCTTTTTTCCAAGGTTCAGTGAAACTTGATGGTTTCAGCTTAAATGAATGGTGGGTTTGCTAGAGCCCAAAGTGATGTTGATGTTGCTCACCTGCCATTTTGCAGGCAGTAGAAGAGGAACTTCTTCCACGTGTACTACTATGTCCATGTTATGGTGGTGCCAGGGCTCAGAGGTGTGCGGTTCACAGGCTTCGGGTGCTGCCTGGATGATTCAAAAGAACCATAACAGAAAACACAGGAGATTTTGATCAGCCTCAGGTCTGTAAGTACATTTTAAACCCACAAAGTTTGAGTGTGTTTGAAATGTACTCAAATATTTCCTTCTTCACCATTGTGTCCTCATGACCCATTGAATCATCAAAGGCTCAGAGATGAAAGAAGGACTTATGGTTAGAAAATGCAAAGGGCTCTCTGCTGAAGGGGAATGGTTTGTTGTATCTTTTTTTTTTTTTTTTTTTTAATCCCAGGGCAAATAGGTCTGGAGGATAATTTTCTGTGAGGGTTTTCACTGTAATGAGTAACTGGGCATCCAAAAAGCTATTTTATAAATAAGCTCCCAATAAAAAAAAAAATAAATCACACCACACCACCACAGAAATGAATTGCAAAATCCCCATAGTTTTGCATGAGCTTAGAGTCACACTCAGGGTGGAAAATTACCCAAACCTCTAACCTGTTGGGAATCAAAATAGTACATGGTCTTTTCAGATAATGTTAGTAGTGACTTTCTCCAGGCTGCCTTCTACATATGGTAACATATGACCTGTTACCGTATTCTACTGAAGAAAAGACACCCCACATACATAAACATCTTCTAGTGGCCTGCAATGGAATTCACAGGTCAAATTCCCCTACTGCATTATTCAACTGAGCCAATGAAGCTGTACCAAAGAAGGATTTACTGAGTTGGCACAAGTGACTAATCTTTATCTTTGCTGCAAGAGGTTTTTACCTTTTCAGAAACGTCTGCAATTTATTTTGGAGCTAAATAAGTTTCCACCAGGTCAGAGTGAACCCGATGAAAAAGGACACCTGAGGACCTTTAAGCCTTTCTCTCCCACAAGAGGGTATGGAGGTGGAACTACCCACCCTGTAGAGGATTCATTGGTTAAATATGAACTTCACATATGAATGTATTATTTTCAACCTCAGAAATATTTACCAAAAAATCAGGGATCATGATCTACTGGACAAAAGGAAAACAGTCACAGCCCTAAAAGCTGGAGAAGACCGGGCCATACTCCTCGGGCTGGCCATGATGGTGTGCTCTATCATGATGTACTTTCTGCTGGGAATCACCCTGCTGCGGTCTTACATGCAAAGGTAAGATGATGGTTTTCATGATGTTTCATGATGGTTACCCTGACCTCACACTCTCTTCTCCAACCAACTTCATGTGGCTTATTCTTTTGACTCTTTTTTATTAAGGTTTTATAATTTTTCCTTTCATGAACATAAGCCTGATTCTGCACTTCCTTATCCCAGTCAGTATAAATTAGGCATAACTACGGTGAAAACAAGTTGAATAATACTAGCATAAGTGAGGGAAAAATTAGATCCCTGTTTGACAAAATCTTGATCCATAGGCTTTAGACTTGCCACGGTTTAACATCAGTATAATACCTGTATCAGCTGGTCAGCAGTCGGCTGACCCCCACAAGCCTCCCAGGGCTTGTTGCTGCAAAGCTCAGTCAAACTCAGGAGAAAAGAGCAAATATATTCAACAGTCTCAAGGAAGAACATGCTTTCACATGAGGAATGGAGAAGTAATTTGTGAAAGAAATCAGGCTGCTTTGTAGCATGTAGTTTTCCATGTAGGTTATTTCATTTTAACAAGTGAAATCCTCTTGAAATATAGTAGTTTGCTGGAAATGAAAGATCATCTTTCATCATTACTACACTGCACTTAATTTTTCTGAGGCCTTCTCTAGCTTCGTTCTCTGCCATGGAACAGAAAGTTTGGCCCGTGATTCATTGGCAGCATTTGAAATCACTTTTCAAGAACCAGCCCTATTTAAAATCCAGCCCAGACTATAATAAGACTGTCAGCAATGTTTTTTCTACCCTGATCAGTGGAGTCAGGAGAATTAAAAATGTGTAACTGGGGTTGTCTGCCCGCAATCACCCTGAGACAGCAACCAATACCTGGCACGGTTTGGCTTATCCACAACAGGTTTCTTCTTTAGGCATGTGCAATAAGTGCCTAAGTTAACTGGTATGAACGTCCTCAATTACACTGGTACACCTACAAGAAAATATTTGTCTTGACCCTGCAATGATAAGGAAAAAAAACTGTACTGGTTTGCAGCATCTTATTCGTGCAATAAAGGTATTTGTCCCTTTTTAAACCCAGGCAAAGTTTAGATTTTGAAAACAGAGATCAAGACCTGTTAATTATCCAAGAGCATTTGCTTTTCCAAATTGCTCTCCCAGACCTTTCAGCAGTATCAGGGTCAATTGCAGAGGCTGCTAAGGTCAAAATTGCTCATGTGGAAAGAGATGATTTATATTACAAACTATGTGAAATATTGCCAGAAGATATCAAAGCACCTAGAAAGTATCAAATATTCCATCTTCACAAGCCTGTTGTAGGTAGGTGTTACTTTATTACCCCATGCATGAATAAAACAACAGGCAGAAAGGTGAAAGTGAGGAGAAGACAACCCAGGAATCTTTGCTGTCACATCTTTTCATACAGCCAGGTCTCCTCAGGGTTTATTCTCATTTACAGACAGCAATATCCCCCCCGGTAAAATAGTGCCTTGAAGGGGAAAAAAAAAATAACACCAAACCTTTCACACTATTTCCCCCCACACATCATAGCATAATTTAACATAAATGTAAAATACAAGCAGAATTACTGCGGAAGTAAAACGCCAAGAGAACTGGTCAGAAAACTTCAGTATCACTTACCACATAAAACCTTTTGTAGGTTTGGCAAGTGGCAAGCAGACCCTCAGCCCTCATGGGAAGGGACAGAACAGCTACTCCAGGTGTGAGTTGCATGAGGGGCTGAGCGGGGCTAAAGTGAGTCAGGTAATTTTGTGCCCAAAACACAGACTTTGGGTAATACAGAATAGTGCAATGCCTGTGAAGTGTGGCATGAGAAAGTCCAGCCTTTGCTCAAAGCCCTCCTACAAGATGCCCCTTGATACATTCTCAAGGGAAAGCCTGAAATGTTTTTAATGCTTATTGCCCATTATTGTCGCACTCTAATGTCTGTTTTTTACCTACTTAGTGTCTGGACAGAAGAGACTCAGTGCTCGCTTCTCAATGCATCCATCACAGAAACCTTCAACTGCTCATTTAGCTGTGGTCCAGACTGCTGGAAGATCTCCCAGTACCCCTGCCTCCAGGTGTATGTTAATCTCACTTCCTCTGGCCAGAAGCTCCTGCTCTACCACACCGAGGAAACAATGAAAATTAATTCTGAGGTAGGAGCACACAATAAAATTTCTTCCTAAATGGGTTTCTGGAGGGCTACTCATCTGGTTATAATAATGGGTATACCCATTTCTCACTTCAAGGAAATATAATGCTTCCAGCTTCTGCTTCACTGGTAAATGCAGAGCAGAGAAAGCAGAAATCAGTGCACAAACTGAGCTCACATCTCTGTAGAGGACATCTCTTTTCCATCTCATCCAGGGAGCATAGCTCATCCCACACAGGATGATGTACCATGGGGCCTGGAGTGTCCCTTGTCCTTTGTAAGTGCTCTACAGGCGCAGGCCAGCGTTGAGCGCTTCTCACATTGATATTCTCATGGACACGTGGACAAGTCACTTCCTACCCGAGAATGACTGTGCGTGGCAGCGAACACCCCAGTCATGTGCACGGAGCCTCCACATGGGAGAGTTCTGGTGGGAACAGAACAGTTCTTCTTACCGTGGGGCCAGGCAAGGCGAGGGGGGAGGCGAGAGCCTGGTGCCTGAGAGCAGACCAGGTCTCTGTCTCAATCTCTGGTGACAAACCCTGCACCCTGAGCATCTCCACTGGGGTCAGCAAAGGTGCTGAAAGCTCACTGAGCAGGCACTGCCACGACAAAAACAGCAGCATTAAAATAAAAGGCTGCATTTGGGGGCATGCACAAGCTAAGGACACAGCCCATCTTTCTTGCCCAACTTCCCCAATTCCAGATATTGAACCAAAAAAAATGATATTTAACAAATCTGGAGAATTCCTCTCTCTGCTTCAGCAAGTACAGGATCCAGCATAACTCCATCCAGGTGGGATGGAGAGAGCTCCTGCCTGGAGGCTGTGATGAAGACAGAGTGCCCAGACACCACCTCCTCGGGGGCTGGTGGCCACAGCAGTGTGGCTGGCACAGCACCGCCCATCGCACCCTTCTAACCAATACCCCTTTCTCCACCTTCCTCTCCTCACATCCATAGGGCCTGGGTATCTAAAACTGCAAGCTGCAGTGGGCTGGGACACAGCTAAGTCATTAGACTTACAAGTGCCAGATTTGCATTAATTATTTAGTTTTTCAAGGTCACTGAACCCCAAAGTCTGGGCACTAGCTGCAACAGCCGAGCCCCAGTTCAGGCTGCTGAAAAGGAAACCTATTGCATTTCTATTTATGGCACCAGCTCAGTAGACCAAATTACTTCTGCACATTAAGATGAAGTGATATTAAAATTAGTCAAAGCACAGCATAGTTGCACTGGGCTGGTTATTCTGTTGGATAATTAGTTCCTGTGGCTGAGAGATGAAGTCCTCTGGATCTGAAGTGTGAAATGGAGAAGAGTTCCCCCACCTTCCCCTCCAGCTCGGTGACAGTACAGAAAGGAGGCACTTGCCATTTGTGAAGCCTGTGGCAGGACAAACCCCAGTTTCTGCATGAGCAGAAACCAGTGATGCTTGTGTCACAATTTGGTTAAAATGGATCAGATTGATCTCTGTGCTTTACTGGATTCAAATAAATGAAGAGATTGAGCATAAATCTGCACATTCTGTTACTGAAGATTTTTACATTTTGAAATGGACTTCCAAATTCTCCCGGATGCTGTCTCCTCTTAATTTAATGTAGGCACAGTTAATACTTCTGCAGGCCAAGGTTGTTTTACAGGTTAAGCTCTGCTCTCAGGAGGATTCCTAGGTTTTCCTGACATACTGCTGGCTATGTGACCTGAATCCAAACGCAGTTTTGAATGGAAGTTTGCAACGGCTGTAAAATACCTGGCTTCTTATGCCTGGCAGGGATCAGCAGAGATTCCAGGCTCAGATTAGCAGAGCCCATCTCATCTCCCTGGACAGGCCCTCCCTCTCCCCTGGCCAGAGAGCAGCCCCGTGCAGCAGGACGAGCAGCCCTGAGCACGGCTGGGTTTGTGATGCTGTGGCTGCGTGCTGGCTGGCTGTCTCCATCCACCTACTCGGGTCTGTATTCCCTATCTTTCTCCTTGCCAAACAAACTAAAAAAAAAAAAAAAAGCCATCCCTGGCTCACTGAGCTCTGCCATTACTGGGGATCTCACAGAGCGTGGTGCTTACCTTCAGAGGCCAACACCAGTGACCTTCAAAAGGTCATCATCCCCCTGCCAACCTCCCCAAGTGCCACTGCACACACAGATCAGCATCTGGAGCCTGTCTCTCTTCTTACAGCCAGCTAGAGAGGGTGGAAAAAAAATGCACCTGGATTTTAAATAATGATTAATCCAGGAGACTGGCTGTCTAACCTAGCTGTCAGCCCACAAGGTGCACAAAGGGGTAGGTGCAATTTGTATTGAGAGTTACAGCATGCTGCTGCCAGTCTCTGGTGGGAATCAGGGGGAAGTAAGTGGATACCAGTCGAGCTGCTCGAGTCTTTCCCAGGAAACAACAGGAGATTTTTCATGGCTTTTCACTGCTCTTGCTGTGCACACTTTATCTCTAGCCTTTAGGACAAGCCCAGCCCCTTGTCAATGCTGCATCCACAGCAGCTTAAATGCTTTCACAGCTACACTTGCCTTCCTCAGCTCTCAGTAGCTCTGGGAGGGGTAAATTGGCCAGCGTCCCCTTGTGCCCGGACCACAGAGCTGGGCTGTCACCCTAAGGAAGGGCTGCAGTAGCTGAAGCAGGTCTAGAGGCCCCATTTTGACCTCATACTACAACATTTTGATTCTTCTCATGTCATCAGAGCTACAGCTGATTTATACCAGTGCTCTGTAAGCGAGATAACAAACAGGACTTCATCACCAGCATCACTATTATGCCAGCTATAACTGCCCAAGACTCAGAAATGATGGGGGATCTCATGGTTTCCTGC